CACACAGAGACAGACAGAGACACAGACCTCTAGTCACTAGTAAGAAGCCCTTTATTCAATAGTACTACAGAGGCTTATATACTCAACACGGTCAGGTGGGCCAACAGGTGAAAACCTCATCCTCTGATCCTCAAGGCCAAGGCAACACATGCTCTTGAAGCAGAGCTGGTAAACAACTCTGACACAGCCTTTAGTAACTCAAATCAGAAGGAAAGTAAAGATCTCTAGCAGGGAAGAGCAGCTGGAGGCCAGGATTCCAAATGGTCCCAACATCTACCCATCTTAAATTAGCCCATCTATCTTTTGCCTTTGGGCTTTTACCTTTCTCTATTTTTGTATATCTTTTCTTTACTTCTTTCTCCGTGGCTTCCTGTGTAACTGGTGACTGGCCCCTGGAGTCTTCCTCTCCTTTCTCACTGCCTGCCAACCCTGCCTATCTTTTCTCCTGCCTTGCTACCAGCTGTTCAGCTCTTTATTAGACAATCAGGTGTTTTAGACGGGCAAAGTAACACAGCTTCACAGAGTTAAATAAATGCAGCTCTACAGAAACTTATACAGTTCTTAACAGTTCAGGTAACACTAAACCAGAAACAGCATATCCTAACCTGCTTGTGTCTGAGGATAGAAAATGTGTCACATTGTTAAAGAAAAGACAAGGTCTTCCGGGTTCTTCAAAAAGGTTTACCAATCCCTGTCTCGGAAAAAAAAAACAACAAAAAACAAAAAACAAAACAAAACAAACAAACAAAAAAGGGTTTACCAATAGCTCTTTTGTGTTGGGGACTGTGAATTTTAATTCCGGGAGACATTTCTGGGAGGTGAAGGTGGGAAAGGAGTCCAAGTGGGTGATTGGTATCAGCCAAGCCTATCTGTCCCCTGGGGAAAGGCAGTCCTCCTCTGCCCCTCAGGGGTGCTGGAGGATCCTCTGGCAGGGTGAATGCTTTGATGTCTCAGGAACTGCTGACCCAAACTCTCAGCTGAAGGCCACAACACCCTGAGTCACTGGCGTTTTCCTGGACTGTGAGCTGGGAGGGGTCTCCTTCCATAGCATGCCTGAGAAATCTCACATCTATACTTTCAGGGACAATTTCACTGAGCCTGTTTGCCCTTATTCCTACCTGGGACATCATTCAGAACCTCGTAGGCTCTGTTCTGTCTCAGATGGTGAGCGAAAAGCCACAGGTGGTCTTAACTCTGACATTTAACTCAGACTCCATACTGCCTTGCTCCCATCCCAGGTTGTCCCCAAGGTTGTACAGCTGAGGATGACTCTGAATTTGTGCTCCTCCAGACTACCCGTCATGGCTAGCATTATGGGATTATGGGTGTGAGTGCTGTACCCCTTTTATTTATTTATCTTTTTTTTTTTTTGAGACAGGGTTTCTCTGTGGTTTTGGAGCCTGTTCTGGAACTAGCTCTTGTAGACCAGGCTAGTCTTGAACTCACAGAGATCCACCTGCCTCTGCCTCCCAAGTGCTGGGATTAAAGGTGTGCGCCCGGTTTATTTATCTTTTTTCAAGGCAAGTTCTTTCTGTGTCGCCCAGATTGGCCTGGAACTTGCTAGGCTGTCCAGGCTGAATCCTGTCTGCATGCCTATCTCAGCTTCCTGTACCCTGGGTTACAGCCGTGGATCAACACACCAGGCAACAGGTGTATTTTTTTTTTAACTTCTATGCCTTACATCTGAAAGAAGTTTTGTTATTAAACCCCATGCCTAGCCAATGATGGACCATCGAGCCACACACATCCTTGTCATCCTAGAGACTGTCCTGGGGAGTCATCCAGGCCAGCCTTGACTAACTCCGCAGCCTCTCTGGCTCAACACATCCAAGTGGCTCGAATCACAGCCCTGTATCACAGACGCATCACACCTCAGAAAGTGATGGGAGTTTTAAGAATATATTTAGTGGTTGGAGAGATGGCTCAGTGGTTAAGAGCATTACCTGCTCTTCCAAAGGTCCTGAGTTCAATTCCCAGCAACCACATTCGCTCACAACCATCTGTAATGAGGTCTGGTGCCCTCTTCTGGCCTGCAGGTATACATGCAGACAGAATCTTGTAAACATAATAAATAAGTAAATATTTTTAAAAAAGAATATATTTGCCCGGCGATGGTGGTACACGCCTTTAATCCCAGCACTCGGGAGGCAGAGGCAGGCGGATCTCTGTGAGTTCGAGACCAGCCTGGTCTACAGAGCTAGTTCCAGGACAGGCTCCAAAGCCACAGAGAAATCCTGTCTCGAAAAACCAAAAAAAAAAAAAAAAAAGAATATATTTATTTATTTTATATCTGAGAGGGTCTTATGCAGTCTAGGCTGGCCTCAAACTTGGTACAAAGCAGAGGCTGACCTTGGATTCCTGCTCAGCTATCCCCTGAGTCACAATTACCCAACCTTTCAAACTTGTACTTGAAGATACCTGTTTCCTTAGAATCTCAGAAACAACTGAAATATTCATAAGGAACTGGATTAATAATTGTAGAATTCTAAAATGTTTAAAACTGTTCCCAAGTTCGTTTTAGTAATCAGACCATTAATGTTAGCCTCCATCTCTCCCTCCCTCGCCCTGGCTCCATTCCCTCCCTCCCTCCCTCCCTCCTTTTCCCCTCGCCTCTTCCTTCTCCCCTCTTTCCGTCTCTGTCTTCCAGATCCAGCACTAGGGACTGGGTTCAGGGCCTTGGGCTTCTGTGAAGGTGTGCACACTGAGCTCACAGCATCGGCCCCGTGTGATTTTGATGTTGTCTTGTCAGGGTGTCCAGGCAACCCTTGAATTTGTTATTCTCACCCTTTACACCCCTTCCCCAGTAGCTGGGACTGCGGGCTAACGCCTCTGTGCCTCGATAGGATTTTGTGCAGTTTTTAACCAATTTTTTAAAAATTTGTGTGTTTGTATATGTGACAGAGAGATAGACAGAGACACACAGAGAGACAGGTAGACACAGGTAGGCAGACAGACAGACAGACTGACTATAGTTGAGGGTGTGGAGGTCAGGAGACACTTCTCTTCCTTCATCGCGTGTCATGGGCTTGCATTTAGCACTGAGGTCATCAGGTTTGCAATGGGAAGCACTTTTACCCGGTGATCCTTCTCAGGCTATGATTGGTTCTTGGTAGAGGAGAGAAACAAGGGAGAGGAGGAAAATGCTGGGTCAGTTTCAGATGTTGTCACCAGAGGGGAGACAAACTCTTGAAAAGGTAGTTGTCCCTTGATAGTTGAACACTACAGGTTGAAATGTGACAAGGTTCCCGTGAATGTACTGTTTTTATCCATTAAATTTTAACAAAAGAAAAATGAAAAAAAAAAAAAAAACCAACACTAGCTGCTTTTCCAAAGGACCCAGGTTCGATTCCCAGCACCCACGTGGTGTTTTACGACTGTCTGTGACTCCTTCCTGTTCCAGGGGAACCAACATCCTCATACCAACACACTTGCAGGCAAAACATTAATGTCCACAAAATAAATTAGATAAAAAGCAATAATTACAAATTAATAGCCAGGTGTGGTGGCCCACGCTTTTAATGCCAGCTCTCAGGGCAGAGGCTGGCAGATCTCTGAGTTGGAGGCCAGCCTAGTCCCCAGAGTGAGTTCCAGAACAGCAGGCAAGACAGAGAAACCGTGTGAGTGTGTGAATGTGTGTGTGTGTGGTACGAGTATGAAAATAAAATTTAGAGAAAACAGAACGATGAATCTCTCAGGTAATCTGTTGCCTGAACTGAAACCCATTCAGACTGGTTCCTTCTGGGGATAACTGCTAGAAGTCTTGGTTGTAATTCGGGTTTGAGTCAGGTACAAAGAGTTTAAAAAGCATATATTAGGCTACAAAGAAAATGAGGGAGAAATAGTCATATGACCTCCACCTTCCTCTTAATCAAACTCAAACCAAGACACATGAGGTAAAACAGTGGTCAGCTGACTCAGCCGTGCCTGGTAAACAGGTAAGACATTTTAATTCTTTGGAGGCTGCCACTGGCTCTGCCAGGGATGTGCAGTGATATGTACTTGGGAACCCAGGATTCCAACAGCGCTGCCTTCAAAATAAAGGACATCATGAGTCAGCTGTCGTCCAGATGAGAAGGACCAGGGCTCTTATCTTCCTCACGTCTTCACAAAATTAATACCCGCAAACAACACAGTGGCTAGCTAGCTCCAGCTCCCTGTGGGTGTCTGAAAACACGGAGACAAGGTGTGGGTGATACGGACTGGGTGTGCGTTTGTAAAGTACCTTTAGCTGGGAACATCTCAGGAGAAGAGCTCAGGCGAATGTATGGACCAGTGGGAGCATCAATGTCGTCTCTACCTCATGCCCAGTAGGGACCCAGTTGTCCCAAGTTTCCAGTGGTCTGTTAGACATGTCAGCACCGCTGATGGGCGGAGTGGAGCTCTGGACAGAGGATTCCCCTAGGAACCAGTGAAACATGCAAACTTCCATAGGTATCGTTGTATTAAGGTTTAAAATGACTTTTTTTTAAACCTTAACAAGGAGACCCCTAGAGAGGAAATGGCGGTTTAGACTGAAGGAGGAAATTCACGCATACATGAATCAGGAATTTAGAAAGAAATGAAATTTGCCGAACTTGTAACGTGTTTCAATAACCACTTCTACCAGTTAGTTTAAACCATGATACACTGGCGTGAAGGATTTCTAAAGCAACAGTTTAGAGCTGGAGAAGACAGCGGACAGCGGGAGAGACTTTCTACAGACCCTACTAGCCCGCCCGGAGCCCACGTCTTTGAAAGTAACACGGAATTAACTAGACCACTGCAGGTGAGTTAAGTCAAGTCACCAAATCAAATTCTCAGGGTTGGCAAGCAGTATGCTGGGCAGGCCTAGGATGTGACAGTCTGGATACTCTACAGAGTATCCCTTCCCACCCACCCGCAACCCCGCCCAGGACCCCGTGGCCCCGGGGCGCCTACTTTCTGGCTAGGGGCGTGGTAACAAGGGGCGTGGCCGGGCCGCTCATTGAAAAGTGCAGCTGACAGCCGGGCCCTGGAGCTCCTGCTTGCGGGCTGAGAGTTCCCGCTATGGGTCCTCATGCTACAGATACTGACGACCAGGCGAATGGACCGACGCCATACTCTTCCTCGCTGAAGCGGCTCAGCGCTCCACCTGTGTCCCCGCGGCTTCGCGTGCGGCCCTGGTGGTTCCCGGCGCACGAACTCAGGGATCCTCTCGTGTTCTACATGGAGGCCCGGGTAGCAGAAATGATCCTTGGTGAGCTCCTCATTACCGGGGTGTGGGTTGGCTTCCCGTATTCTTGAGGGGCAGCAAGTCCTTACCCCATTCCCCAGTCCGATCTGACCATCAAGACCAGCCCAGCCCGCCCCTTCCCACCTGAAGCCTTTCTACTTACTGCTTCAGTCTCTTTACATGTTTAGGCCCCAATCAAGTCTTAATCCCAGAAATAGAGTGGTTAAGCCAGGCTTTGCTGAGAGTGGACATTGTCGACCCTGGGGACGTAGCTGAAATCACCATCTATGGACGACCCTGTGTGAAGAGTCGAATGAGAAATATTATCTTGCACCTGGCAGCTTGCCATAAAGAAGAACATGTCCAAAGAGGTAAGGGTCTTTCTTTGAAGACCTACCCGGGGAGGAAGCCATCGGAAGAGTCCCAGCTGCTGGAAACTGTATTGTCTCTGGGGATGCTTTCAGAGGGAGACCCTTGAAGAAGTGCAGGGCATACACACCCAAGCCTGTCACCCCCCCAGCTCAGCCTTAAGCTCCACTCTTTCCAGATTCCAGGTCCAGGATCCCTTTTTAACACCATGCTAGATGCTCCTCCTGTTCCTAATCTAGGGAATTGGATACCATTTCCCCCCTTGACTGATAGTGTTGATTCTCTTTCAGCTACAAAGATGAAACAACTTGAGGAATTTTTGAAGGACCATTCCCCAAACTCGAGAGACCAGGCAAGAGGCACTTGCTGACTGAGAGGCAGACCAGCTTTCCGCCCGCCTGTGGAGGTGAAGAGAAACAGTTCCTTAAAATCTCCCCATTTGTTTCCTTCCCTGCCTTTGTGGATGGATACCTGTTTGTTTTCATTTCTCCAAGTAGCAATTTGTAGAACTGTTCAAATATAGAAATGACTTTTTTGGGGGCTGGAGATATGGCTCAGTGGTTAAGAGCACTGACTGCTCTTCCAGAGGACCCGGGTTCAATTCCCAGCACCCACAAGGCAACTCACAACTGTCTGAAGATCCAGTTGCAGGGGATCTGACACCTTTACACCAATGCATATAAAATAAAGTTAAATAAACCATAAAAAAGAAATGACTTTTTTGGCCTGTTATTTTTATCACACACAATAAAGCAAACTTAAATATCAGCCGTCAGTTGATGTGAGGTGTGGGTTGTGTCCCTGCTATTTCTAACACACACTTCAGTCAGCCCTTGAGGCTGACACAGTTGGCTGAGGGTGGTACTTAGGTGTTTGAGGTAGGGGTGATGTGTGTTTTCCAGGCTGGTTCCTAACTCCTGTGCTCAGGCAGTTATTTCACCAATTTACCCCAGCAGGTGGGGACAAGGACGTCATTGCAGAGTCAGCTCTTCATGCTTGAACTCGGATGTGTTTCTGCCTCCCAAATTCTTGGATAAAGGCATCTTCCACCATGCCTGGCCACTCTTTTTTCTTTTTGTTTTTGTTTTTAGAGACAGGGTTTCTGTAGCTTTGGAGGCTGTCATGGAACTAGCTCTTGTAGACCAGGCTGGCCTTGAACTCACAGAGATCTGCCTGCCTCTGCCTCCTAATGCATGCCAAAGGTGTGTGCCACCATCGCCCGACCTGTTTTTGCTTTTCTTTATTTAGTATTCATTGGTATTTTGCCTGTAGATAGGTATTTGTGAAAATGTCAGTTCCCCTGGTGGTGGAATAAGTTAGGTGTGAGCTGCCATGAGATTGTTGGGATTTGAACCCAGCTCCTCTCAGTGCTCTTAACCACTGAGCCATTTCTCTGACTCCCAACCCCATTAACACCATTGTAACCCCTCTCCCACAGATGAGACATCTCTGTGTAACAGTCCTAGCTGTTCTGGAACTTGCTTTGTAGACTAGGCCAGCCCCAGAAAGACCCACCTGTCTCTACTGCCCTCCCCACTGCTGTGATTAAAGGCTCACATCACAACTGCTGGGCCCTTTTCTACTTTTCACCTGTTTTTTTTTTTTTTTTTTTTATTTTGGTTTTTCGAGACAGGGTTTCTCTTTAGCTTTGGAACCTCTCCTAAAACTAGCTCTTGTAGACCAGGCTGTCCTCGAACACACAAAGATCCGCCTGCTTCTGCCTCCCGAGTGCTGGGATTAAAGAAAGGCCTGTGTCACCACCGCCCAGCTTTCTTTCTTTCTTTCTTTCTTTCTTTCTTTCTTTCTTTCTTTCTTTCTTTATTTCCTGCTGACTCTCCTTCCTCTCCTCTCCTCTCCTCCCCACCCCTCCTCCCTTCCTCCCTGCTCACCTACTCCAGCCCAGCTTGTTTCTGTGGGTTTTGTCCTTGACCCCTCTGTCTCCGACCATCCTTCCCCTCTTCTGCGGGATTCCCCTATTACCTAGCTCACTTAATGCCCTTTTTAAACTCTGGGTAGTAACCACTTTGGGGATGGAGTATCAGATAACCTGCACATCACATAGGTTCAGATCCATCACGGTTCAGATCCATCACAGAAGCAAAACTTCACTCCACAGTGGTGGTACACGTCTTTAATTCCAGAACTTGGGAGGCAGAGACAGTTCCAGGACAGACCCAAAGCTACAGAGAAAGCATGTCTCAAAAAAAAAAGAAAAAATGAAACAAGCAAAGAAAAAGTAGCAAAATTAATTATGAAGTAGCAACAAAATAATATTATGGTTGGAGGTCATCCCAACATGAACTGTATTAAAGGGTCACAGGATTAGGAAGGTTGACAACCACTGATTTAAGGTGTGCACAGATGCACCTTGGGAGTTCCTCAAAACTGCTCTAGGCTGCTTCTCAGGGGATTCCCAAGAGCGGGCACAGGGGCTGCATCTCTAACAAGCTGTCTGTTGAAGCACCCTTTAGGGCAATCACTTGTCACTGCCCTTTAACCTTGGAGACCAGCAGGTGTGTGTGGCTCAGGGAGTTTTCCAAACACGAGGTGTAATGCCTACCTTGTCACACATCACTACAAACCAGCTAACAAACCTTGAGCAGGCTAAGGTCACAGGCCTCAGAGTTGGCTGTCCCTGTGTTTTCTAGATGTTTCTTCCATTGCAGCGTTCTCTTCTCCTGAGACATTCAGGAGGGAAACAAACTTTGCTTGTCTGGGGACACTGAAGCTCAGAAGACTCACCAACCTCTTCCCAGGGTTCCTGAAACTGAGCACCAGCTGGAAGAGGGAGGCTGGCTGGCTGAGCTGCCAACAGCAGATCCTTGGACCTGTCAAGCCATACCTAGGAATAAGAGCTCCAGCTTGTAGCCATCCTGACCCCTGTGTTGGGGAGGCTGAGTGCTGCAGCTGCTCTTGGGTCATCACTGCTCCTGTAAGCCACCCTCACCCATACTCCTGTGACTCCAGTTAAAGTCACTGGGTCACCAGGCAGCACTCATGTGCAGCAATTAGTGGCTGTGGTCTGTTGTGGGCTCCCGGCAGGGGTAGGTTGACTGTGTCCCGTGTCACCCCAGGAATAGTCTTTCACACAACAAGCTGATGTCTGTGATGTGGCAGCGGCGTTCATGGCCAGTGCTGCTTTCCTTTGCCCATGCCACTGTGACGGTCAGTCTGCAGTGCCACACCTACCCTTGCTCTCACCACTTTCAGGAAGTGCATGCTGCACGACTTGGGGACACAGGCCTGTAACCTGCACTGGGGAGGCAGAGGCAAGCAGATGATCGTGAGTTCAGTCCCAGCCTGGTCTACATCGCAAGTTCCAGGCTAGCCAGAGCTACACAGTGAGACTTGGCCTTAAAACAATTGAAATAATAGTGCAGGAACTCTGGAATTAGACAAAGTTGTGGTTAGCTGGTTGTGGTCTTTTTTTCCTTTGATAGACAATGAGGTGTTCTAACTTTTTTTTTTAAATTATTTTTTATGGGGGCTGGAGAGATGGCTCAGTGGTTAAGAGCACTGACTGCTCTTCCAGAAGTCCTGGGTTCAATTGCCAGCAACCACATGGTGGCTCACAGCCACCTATAATGAGACCTGGCACCCCCTTCTGCCTTGCGGGCACACATGGAAGGAATGCTGTACACATAATAAATAGACAAATATTAAAAAATTATTTTTTATAGTTCATTTAACTTTTTTTCAATATTTATTTATTATGTATACAATATTCTGTCTGTGTGTGTGTCTGCAGGCCAGAANGACTTGGGGACACAGGCCTGTAACCTGCACTGGGGAGGCAGAGGCAAGCAGATGATCGTGAGTTCAGTCCCAGCCTGGTCTACATCGCAAGTTCCAGGCTAGCCAGAGCTACACAGTGAGACTTGGCCTTAAAACAATTGAAATAATAGTGCAGGAACTCTGGAATTAGACAAAGTTGTGGTTAGCTGGTTGTGGTCTTTTTTTTCCTTTGATAGACAATAAGGTGTTCTAACTCTTTATAGATGATTTACACACACACACACATATACCGAACATTGGCTTCTTTTATGTTTTCAACTTTATCCATTTCTTTCCTGGCTTTAAATGCTAGTGAGAGTGTGAGCATGTACCCATGCTCCTTAGGACTGAGCCTGGTGAACGTAAAGACAGATTTCAGTAATCCGTGCAAATATATGTATAAACAGTATTCACTATTAGCAGTGTCTTCATGCTCTAACCTCTCAAAATTTTAGCCTATGCATTTTTATTGTTGTTAAGCCAATTTTAGGCTGCCTGTTTCTTCATCCCTATCCCAGGTGCTAAGCATAGAAGCTCCTGCTGGGCAGTGGTGACACATGCCTTTAATTTCCACATTTGGGAGACAAAGGCAGGCAGATCTCCTTGAGTTCCTAGCCAACCTGATCATCTACAAGAGCTAGTTCTAGGACAGCTAGGACTATTACACAGAGAAACCCTGTCTCAAAAAAAAAAAAAAACAAAAAAACAAAAACAAAAAACAAAAACTAAACCACAACAACAACAAAGCATAAACAACAAGCACCTGCCTTGTCTCACAGAAATTTATCATCCTTTTTTTTCTGGGTGTGAATTCTATAAAAAAAATCAAATATTTTATTTATTAAGCAGATTGATGTAGCAAGCATTATTAATTAACAGATTTATGCTTAAATCTTCTACTTTCTCCAGTAACTTCTGGACCTTTCTGTACTTCTACCATTAATTTGCATTGATTTGCTTGTTCTTAAGTCTTAACTCAGGTCCACAGACTGTGAGTGAATTTTCAGATAAAGACTTGCTTGTGTGCCGGTGTTCTGCCTGTATCCATGTATGTCTGTGTACCACATGTGCCTGGTGCCTGGAGAGGCCAGAAAAGAGCATCAGAACCCTTCTAACTTGAGTTATAAGCAGTCATTAGCCTCCATGTGGGTGTTGGGAATCAAAGCTGGGTCCTTTGGAAGAGCAACTGGTGTTCTCAGCCACCCAGCCATGTTTCCAGCCTGCAGGGCTTGGCATGATGGCTCAGCAGTTACCTCAACAGTTACAAACTCTTGCTGCTCCTCCAGAAGAGCAAGGTTTCAGTTTCAGAACCTATTTGTTGGCTCACAATGGTTTTCAGGTCCTTGGGATCTGATGCCCCCTTCTGGACAACGGGAGCAGATGCACATGGGACAAAACACGCAAAAATAAGTCTCAAGAAAGCATATTTTTTTTCTCCATATAGGAAAACAAGTTTATTAAGAAGGCTATGAAGTCCAAAAATGAAACTCTTGATACAATTTTTTAGTTTGTTTGTTTTTGAGACAGTCTTTCTCTGTAGCTTTGGAGCGTGTCCTGGAAGTAGCTCTTGTCGACCAGGCTGCTCTTAAGAGATCTGCCTGCCTCTGCCTTCAAAGTTCTGGGATTAAAGGCCTGCACCACCACTACCCAGTTGATACATTTTTTTTAAACACTTAAAAGTTAGTTTAGCAAATAAATCAGTAATTTATCTGGCAAAGATTAAATGTACATTGCTTTATTTAAAATAAAATATTTTAGTTCTTAAAATTTATTCCATAAAGTACATATATTTAATATAAATTCACTAACACCGGAAGTAAAATAAAAAACATTAAAAACTTTAAAAAAAACCCACAACACTATGTCTTAGTTTAAAAAACCAAAAAGTACAATAAAGTAGTTACAAATTAAACATTTCTTTTGTTTGGTTTTTCAAGATAAGATTTCTCTATATAGCAGCACTGGGTGTCCTGTGTCTCTTTGTAGACCAGGCTGGCCTCGAACTCAGATCCACCTGTGTCTGTCTCTGCCTCCCAAGTGCTGGGATTCAAGGCGTGCATCACCACCATCCAGTTTAATTTTGCAACTGTTATGACTCTGAACCTGTCTTATTGCAGGTTATCTGGTACAAATCCCCAACTAAGTTTCTACCCAGCGTTTGAGAAGAGTGGCATTAAATAAGCTATGGAATAGGGAATCCTGCAGAAGAGGGAACGGACTGGAGGAGACGGAGGATCAAGGCCACGAGAAAACCCACAGAATCAAGTTGGGCAGTAGTGGCTGAGGAAGGGGGCAGGGAGGAGGGGGGAAACAGTCAGCAGCTTATTTAAAAAAAACAAAACAAAAAACACGTGAAAAATACAAAGGGACCCAGCAGTGAGGGTGCATGCCTTTAATCCCTCTCTGCACTGGAGAGGGAGGCAGAAGCAGGTGGGTCTCCCTGAGGCTAGCCTGGTCCACAAAGCACATTTCAGAACAGTAAGGACTGTTACACAGAGAAATCCTGTCTGGGGAAGCGGGGAGATTACAACGGGGTTGCTGGGGTCGGAGAGATGGCTCAGTGGTTAAGAGCACTGAGAGGACCAGGGTTCAATTCCCAGCAACCACATGACAGCTAACACCTGAAAGTTACACCACCACCAGGGGAATTGACATTCGCACAAAAACCTCTTTGGGTAGGGCTTCACCCCAGCCCCTGGCTTCCACTTTGGATTACTGGGTGAGGGGACGGGAGAGATGGCTCAGAGGTTAACAGCATTGCCTGCTCTTCCAAAGGTCCTGAGTTCAATTCCCAGCAACCACATGGTGGCTCACAACCATTTGTAATGGAGTCTGGTGCCCTCTTCTGGCCTACAGGGATATACACAGAATATTGTATACATAATAATATCTTAAAAAAATAAATAAAAAAATGGATTACTGGGTGGAAAATTCCAGTTCAAGCCGCCTCCCCTGGACGTGCCTCAGTCCAAACTCCGCCTCCGCGAAAGCCCGCCAAACTGATGCATCTCTCCAGGGAGGGTCAAGAGCACTCCCAAAGGCTTTTTAAACTGCCCCTTCCCCAGAACGACCAGGTGGTCTTTCTGTTCTCCTTTCCCCTCTCCATGGTTTCCAGGCTGGCCTCAGTGGTGAGGCCTGATAAGCTACCGGGGAACGTTAGCATCCATTAAAACTGGGCTGACTGAAGTGTGTGTTAGAAATAGCAGGGACACAATCCACACCTCACACCAACTGATGGCTGATGTTTAAGTTTGCTTTATTGTGTGTGATAAAAATAACAGGCCAAAAAAGTCATTTCTATATTTGAACAGTTCTACAAATTGCTACTTGGAGAAATGAAAACAAACAGGTATCCATCCACAAAGGCAGGAAAGGAAACAAATGGGGAGATTTTAAGGAACTGTCTCTCTTCACCTCCACAGGCGGGCGGAAAGCTGGTCTGCCTCTCAGTCAGCAAGTGCCTCTTGCTGGGCCGTTTGCCTACGGGGAATGATCCCTCAAGAATTTCTCAAGTTCTTTCATTGTCCATGCTGAAAGAAAATCAACACTATCAGTCAAGGAGGGAAATGGTATCCAATTTCCTTGATTGGGAACAGGAGGAGCCTCTAGCATGGTGTTAAAAAGAAGGGATCCTGGACCTGGAATCTTAAAGTGGAGCTTAAGGCTGTGAGCTGGGGGGGGGGGGGTGAAGGGCCTGGGTGTGTCTGCTCCCCGGCTTTTGTCCTCAAGCGGCTCCTCAGAGACGCTACAGTTTCCAGCAGCTGGGACTCTTCCCATGGCTTCCTCCCCGGGTAGGTCTTCAAAGACCCTTACCTCTTTTGAAGTCTTCATTTTTATGCCTTGCTTCCAAGTGCAAGATCACATTTTTTATTCGATGCTGTAGAAAGGGTTCTCCATATATGGTGATTGCAGCCACGTTCCCAGAGCCGCCGGTGTCCACGGACATCCAAATCGAGCCATCGTACCACTCGGATGGGACCGAGGGTTGCATTCGGCCTAAACAGGTAAAGAGTAGAAAGTAAGAGGGAAGGTGCAGGCTTGGCTGGACTGGACGGAGAGATTGGACTGGAGAATGGCGTCAGGACTTGCTGCCCCTCAAGACTACATACAGGGAACAAACCCACACCGCTGTCAGAGGAAACTCACCAAAAACCCTTTCGGCCACCCAGGTCTCCATGTGGAGCACGACAGGCTCACAGATTTCGTCCTGAGGCCGCCAGGACACAGGTGGAGCGCGAAGCTTCTGGGAGGAAGGGTCCTCCATCGGTCTTTTCGGCTCGTGGTGGGCGTCACTAACGTGGGACTCCACTCTCGAACACTCCAAGAGCAAGGGCAAGGAGCTGCAAACCCTGGCTGGTGGCCTAGCTTTTCAATGCGCGGTCCGGCCACGCCCCTTGTGCACCACGCCCCCAGCCAGCACCTGCAGGCCAGTGGGCTGCCCTGGCAAGGAGGGCCTGGGCAGGGTTGGGGTGGGTGGGAAGCGCACTAATCTGTGGAGTATCCAGACTGGCACAACCTAGGCCTGCCCAGCATACTGCTAACCCTCAGCATTTGATTTGGTGCCTTGACTTAACTCACCTGCAGTGGTCTAGTTAGTTCTGTGTTACTTTCAAAGCTCCGGGCGGGCTAGTAGGGTCTGTAGAAAGTCTCTCCAGCTATCTGCTCTCTTCTCCAGCTCTAAACTGTTGCTTTAGAAATCCTTCACGCCAGTGTATCATGGTTTAAACTAACTGGTAGAAGTGGTTATTGAAACACGTTACAAGTTCGGCAAATTTCATTTCTTTCTAAATTCCTAATTCATGTATGCGTGAATTTCCTCCTTCAGTCTAAACCGCCATTTCCTCTCTAGGGGTCTCCTTGTTAAGGTTTAAAAAAAGTCATTTTAAACCTTAATACAACGATACCTATGGAAGTTTGCATGTTTCACTGGTTCCTAGGGGAATCCTCTGTTCAGAGCTCCACTCCGCCCATCAGCGGTGCTGACATGTCTAACAGACCACTGGAAACTTGGGACAACTGGGTCCCTACTGGGCATGAGGTAGAGACGACATTGATGCTCCCACTGGTCCATACATTCGCCTGAGCTCTTCTCCTGAGATGTTCCCAGCTAAAGGTACTTTACAAACGCACACCCAGTCCGTATCACCCACACCTTGTCTCCGTGTTTTCAGACACCCACAGGGAGCTGGAGCTAGCTAGCCACTGTGTTGTTTGCGGGTATTAATTTTGTGAAGACGTGAGGAAGATAAGAGCCCTGGTCCTTCTCATCTGGACGACAGCTGACTCATGATGTCCTTTATTTTGAAGGCAGCGCTGTTGGAATCCTGGGTTCCCAAGTACATATCACTGCACATCCCTGGCAGAGCCTGTGGCAGCCTCCAAAGAATTAAAATGTCTTTCCTGTTTACCAGGCACGGCTGAGTCAGCTGACCACTGTTTTACCTCATGTGTCTTGGTTTGAGTTTGATTAAGAGGAAGGTGGAGGTCATATGACTATTTCTCCCTCATTTTCTTTGTAGCCTAATATATGCTTTTTAAACTCTTTGTACCTGACTCAAACCCGAATTACAACCAAGACTTCTAGCAGTTATCCCCAGAAGGAACCAGTCTGAATGGGTTTCAGTTCAGGCAACAGATTACCTGAGAGATTCATCGTTCTGTTTTCTCTAAATTTTATTTTCATACTCGTACCACACACACACACATTCACACACTCACACGGTTTCTCTGTCTTGCCTGGCTGTTCTGGAACTCACTCTGGGGACTAGGCTGGCCTCCAACTCAGAGATCTGCCAGCCTCTGCCCTGAGAGCTGGCATTAAAAGCGTGGGCCACCACACCTGGCTGTTAATTCGTAATTATTGCTTTTAATTTAATTTATTTTGTGGACATTAATGTTTTGCCAGCAAGTATGTGGTATGAGGATGTTGGTTACTCTGGAACATGAGTTACAGACAGTTGTGAACCACCATGGGGGTGCTGGGAATTGAACCTGGGTCCTTTGGAAGAGCAGCTAGTACTCTTAACCACTGAGTTATCTCTCCAGTCCCTAATGCATATTTCCTAATTCCTACAAAATGAGGTGTTTCATTTTGACCCTTTTACATCTGCATAGCACTTACTTTGCTCATTTGTGTCGTCTGTAAGTTGGCAGATGTCTTGGTAGCGATACTGCCATGAAGCAATCAATTTTGTTGTGTGTTAGATGATGTCCGGCTGTGCTCTGTGTGGATCTGGAGGAGATGTGGGTAGCAGAGGTGTCACACTGCCACCAAGCATGGCCAAGCACTTAGCAGAGGGAAGAGAAGACCATAGTTTAGAACCTGACCGCACTCTCTGAAAATCCTATGACGGCCAGAAACCACCTTTGTGTTATGCATCTGAGGGACCGTGTCCTTTCAGGGCCACATTGTGGCTACTTACAGCCACGATGCTTTTTCCCCTAAAGCCTGCCCGCTGTCAGGCCTCATCGTGGTGCATCATGCCATGAGCCTCCTAATATTGTTCCTCTGAAGGCTAGTTTATCTTGGCTTTACTTTTCTGTGAATTCTGGAATTTTCTAACATTCTGTTCCTGCTCATGGCCAGGCTTTGGTTAGAGAATAGCTGGTCCTTAGAAGTGTATTCAGAGGCAACCTCCCCAGAACCTTTCTTCATCCATACCACTATTGTCTTCCCTGGGATACCCTAGTTCTAGGAATCAGTTTTATTACACCCATTTTGCTCACGGCAATAAATATTAGCTGAAATTGATTAAGAGAGGAATGGATTGAGGATGGCTTTGTACTTTCCCCAGTCCACTATTAGCTATTCTAATGATTCTCTTTTTCTTGCCTATATTCATTTCACTAGGTATAGAGGCAATGCCTTCAACTTTGACTTCTATTATGGTCACTATTTTTTTCTATTTTATTTTTTTCCTTTTTTTATTTGTGTAACAATCCTATCTGTCCCGAAACTAGTCCTGTAGACTAGGGTGGACTTGAACTCACAGAGATCAACCTGCCTCTGCCTCCCAAGTGCTGGGATTGCAGCATGTGCTACCACTGCCCGGCTGTCCTCAGTTTTCTGAGCAGGGGCTGTGGCATGTGCAAACCCTCAGCCACACACACAGCAATCATAAAGCAGAAAGAGCAAACGGAAGTGCAGTCACAGCTGGTCTGCATCATGGAGGTGTTGCTGCCGTCCCTGTCTTACCACCCTCATGCTGCTGTCCCAGCTGTGAGCTGAGCCAACCCTTTTCCAAAGCATCCAGTTGAGGTGCCTGCCGTAAAGCTAATATATAACTAATATAGCTACCATGGACCCTGAACTGTGAGGAAGAGAATGATAGAGCACTCTCTCTTCTTTTTTTTTGACGGGGGGGGGGGAGGGTGGCTTTTCAAGATAAAGTTTTTTTCTTTGTAGCCTTAGCTGTTCTGGAACTCTGTAGACCACATCTGCCCGCCTCTGCCTCCTGAGTGCTGAGGATAAGGCATGCACCACCATGGCTGGGCCTCATTCTATTCAAATATCCTCAGGGTAGAACAGGCACAGTGACGGGACCATCACTAGGGGGAGGTTAAAGGACCAGGAATGTAAAAGGCCATTCTTTGCCATATATCAAGTATATTAAGTTCCAGGCTAGGTATGTGTTTCAAGTCCCCCTTCTCTGCCCAGGGTATGGGGGAGACTAACAAAATGAGGTTTGGGAGACAGCTAGTAGGCACAGCACACGAGGACTGAGTTTGTTTTCCAGCATAGACTTAAAAAAGCAGGGCACCCATGAAGTACCTATAATCATAGTGTTGAGGAGGGCGGTGGTGGTGCACGGCTTTAATCCCAGCACTCGGGAGGCAGAGGCAGGCGGATCTCTGTGAGTTCGAGACCAGCCTGGTCTACAGAGCTAGTTCCAGGACAGGCTCCAAAGCCACAGAGAAACCCTGCCTCGAAAAACAAAAAACAAAAAAAAAGAAACCCTGTCTCGAACCTCCCTCCCCCAAAAAATCATGGTGTTGTCAATGCAGAGAAAGGAGAGATAGTCCTTGGGGCACACTGGCCAGCCTAGTAGAAGAGGTCTAGATTCAACAAGAGACCCTGTCTCAAAAAAATAAGGCAGAGCTAGCTATGGTGGCCTTAGTCTAAACAGTCTTGAGGCAGAAGCAAAAAAAAAAAAAAAAAAAAAAAAATCTCCAAGTTTGAGCTCTGTCTGGTTTATGTTAGCAATCTCCAGGCCATCCAAGAACATAGTGAGACCCCAGGTTGGTTGTTTATTTTATTTTATTTTTTTAAAAGTGAAGAGATCTTGAGGAAGACAACAATTGTCGACCTCTGGACACTCCATGCATTTCTATACAGGTACAGGTGCACAAGAATACACACACACACACACACATTTACACACACACACACACACTCAGAGGCTCTCATACACAAAGTGTACTAAGTTATAAAGCTCACAGAATCCTAACATTGTCTTCCAAGATGGGCTCCCAAGCTACAGAGAAACCCTGTCTCTTAAACAAAACAAACAAGCAAAAACCTAATATTGAAAACTGGATTATAAGCAAACATAAAGTGTTAAATGTTTTAATTTCTTGGGGTACCACAACAAAATGACACAAAGTAGACAGCTTAAACACCAGAAATTCATGTCTTTAATCTGGGAGTTCCAATTTGTAAATGGAACTGTTGATCACCAGGTTTGATGTCTGGGTCCACTTGGGTTGTCACATGATCTTTCCTCTGGGTTCCCACCTTTGTCCACATGTCCTTTCCCTATGAGCATGTGCTCACGAGTATAGTGATAGGACTTAGTTTTATATTCATTGCCTTATTTTTTTTTCCCCAGAGCCAGGCATGGTGCACAGTGCACGCCTTTAATTTCAGCACTTGGGAGGCAGAGGCAGGCGGATCTCTGTGAGTTCCAGGCTAGCCTAATCTACAAAGTGAGTTCCAGGATACCCAGGGCTGTTATACAGAGAAAACTTATCTTGAAAAACCAAACAAAAGAAATTTTTTTCCCAAGACTTCTTTTCTTCTGTGTCTGTTTTGTCCCATGTGCATCTGCTCCCGTTGTCCAGAAGGGGGCATCAGATCCCAAGGACCTGAAAACCATTGTGAGCCAACAAATAGGTTCTGAAACTGAAACCTTGCTCTTCTGGAGGAGCAGCAAGAGTTTGTAACTGTTGAGGTAACTGCTGAGCCATCATGCCAAGCCCTGCAGGCTGGAAACATGGCTCCTGTGGCTGAGAACAGCAGTTGCTCTTCCAAAGGACCCAGCTTTGATTCCCAACACCCACATATAGGCTAATGACTGCTTATAACTCAAGTTAGAAGGGTTCTGACTCCCTTTTCTGGCCTCTCCAGTCACATGTGATACACAGACATACAAGGATGCAGGCAGAACACCGGCACACAAACAAGGCTTTATCTGAAAATTCACTCACAGTCTGTGGACCTGAGTTAAGACTTAAGGACAAGCAAATCAATGCAAATTAATGGTAGAAGTACAGAAAGGTCCAGAAGTTACTGGAAAAGTAGAATTAAGAATGCTTGCTACATCAATCTGCTCAATAAATAAAATATTTTTTTATATAGAATTTATGTCCAGAAAAAAGGATGATAAGTTTCTGTGAGACAAGGCAGGTAGTTCTATGTTTTTTGGTTGTTGTTTAGTTTTTTGTTTTTTTTTGAGACAGGGTTTCTCTGTGTAATAGTCCTAGCTGTCCTAGAACTAGCTCTTGTAGAAGATCAGGTTGGCTAGGAACTCAAGGAGATCTGCCTGCCTTTGTCTCCCAAATGTGGAAATTAAAGGCATGTGTCACCACTGCCCAGCAGGAGCTTCTATGCTTAGCACCTGGGATAGGGATGAAGAAACAGGCAGCCTAAAATTGGCTTAACAACAATAAAAATGCATAGGCTAAAATTTTGAGAGGTTAGAGCATGAAGACACTGCTAATAGTGGAATACTGTTTGTACATATATTTGCACAGATTACTGAAATCTGTCTTTACGTTCACCAGGCTCAGTCCTAAGGAGCATGGGTACATGCTCACACTCTCACTAGCATTTAAAGCCAGGAAAGAAATGGATAAAGTTGAAAACATAAAAGAAGCCAATGTTCGGTATATGTGTGTGTGTGTGTAAATCATCTATAAAGAGTTAGAACACCTTATTGTCTATCAAAGGAAAAAAAAGACCACAACCAGCTAACCACAACTTTGTCTAATTCCAGAGTTCCTGCACTATTATTTCAATTGTTTTAAGGCCAAGTCTCACTGTGTAGCTCTGGCTAGCCTGGAACTTGCGATGTAGACCAGGCTGGGACTGAACTCACGATCATCTGCTTGCCTCTGCCTCCCCAGTGCAGGTTACAGGCCTGTGTCCCCAAGTCGTGCTGCATGCACTTCCTGAAAGTGGTGAGAGCAAGGGTAGGTGTGGCACTGCAGACTGACCGTCACAGTGGCATGGGCAAAGGAAAGCAGCACTGGCCATGAACGCCGCTGCCACATCACAGACATCAGCTTGTTGTGTGAAAGACTATTCCTGGGGTGACACGGGACACAGTCAACCTACCCTGGCGGGGAACCCACAACAGACCACAGCCACTAATTGCTGCACACGAGTGCTGCCTGGTGACCCAGTGACTTTAACTGGAATCACAGGAGTATGGGTGAGGGTGGCTTACAGGAGCAGTGATGACCCAAGAGCAGCCGCAGCACTCAGCCTCCCAGACACAGGGGTCAGAGAAAAGAAGAAATTCCCAAATATTGTTTTCACGTTTATTAAATGACAAGAATTATAACTGACTCTTTGGAAGTTGCTCAGGGGCCACACAAAATGACGCCCCAGGATCTAACTCCTTCAGGTTGGGAGTCTTTGAATCTTTCAGTGTGGGTTTCTGCGTTTCTGGGTTCAGGCCCAATCAGTTATTTCCCAGAGGAAGACCATCAGCACCGACTTTTTTTTTTTTTTTTCTCCTGAGACAAGGTTTCTCTGTAGCTTTGGTGCCTGTCCTGGAACTAGTTCTTGTAGACCAGGCTGGCCTCAAACTCCTAGAGATCTGCCTGCCTCTCCCTCCTGAGTGCTGGGATTAAAGATATGCGTCACCACCGATCGGCTCCGACTTCTATTCTTAAATTCCCTGTTGTTTGGAAAAACAACTACAGTAGTTAGTTTAGGTTGGCTGGGCTGGTGGTGGACTGACGTTGTCTCCCAAGGGCGCAGCCTGAAGGTGCAAGCTGTGAGTCTGAGATTGGGCCCCGAAATGGGAGGACCCCTAGTGGGTGTGGTCTAGCCAGCCACCGCCCTCACAGGTGCTGGGGTTGTGGGCCACAAGGTTAATCCTGAACTAGTCTCCGCTGCGAACTGGTTGCTTGCGGAGGAACTGAGATGGGAACTTTCCGGACCCGTAAAGATATCCCACCATGGGTGAAAATTCCTGAAGACCTGAAAGATCCAGAAGTATTCCGAGTCCAGACACTGGTGTTAAAATTTCTGTTTGGTGAGTGGCAAGTCTTGTCCCGGTTGCCCAGCTCAGGCTCAGGCTCAGGCTCCCTGGCCTGGACCGCTCATTTCCTTTCTCCAACAGGCCCACACGGCTCTCGAATCCCTCACTTCGAGAAGGTGAGCCAGGCTATGTTCGAACTGAAGACCCTGGAGTCTTCCGAACTCACCGAGGTCTTAGTTTATGGCTCTTACAACCACAAGCTTCGGGCCAAATGGATGCTTCAGTCCATGGCTGAGAGGTACCGCCTACGCCAGGAGAGAGGTGAGACTCCAACCAAGGCTCATGCCTCCACCATGCTGACCTCCCTTCTCCACTGCCTGCATGCCCCGAAGGGTGACGTGCCGTGGGCATCACCTGGGACCCCTTGCTCTCTGGGCAGTCTCTGAGAATCTTTTAGTGGTTGGGGCCGCAGAGGTGTGTGTAAGGTAATAAGAGGGGGTTGGGACTGGTCCCTCTGGGTAGGGTTATCCGAGGTAACTGTGTCGTGTCACCCCCCCTCCTCCCCCCCAATCTCCATGCTTCTAGGAGAACGTTAGAACTGGCCTAGTGGTGCCTGGTTCCAGACCCAGAATACTGGACTCCGATTAGAGAGTCACAAAAAGATGCTGTTAGAGGCGGTGAATCGGGAGGGCTCCTATTGTTCCCCTGCACTTAATCCTGTCGGTGTTTCTCATGCAGGAATGCTCCACCTGGAGGAAGCCATGAAGACCCTGGAACTAGGAAAGTGTTTGGAGTGAAGCCTGTTTGTAGGCAGTGTGACTGATTAGGCTGTGGCCAGTTTTGGCCTGGGTCTGGTGTGTGTTTTTTTACTTTGATAAATCTGGTGTGTTTTTACTTTGATAAATCCTTCGCGGACCAACGAGCTATTCCTGGATCCCTGCCTTGCAGTGAGGTCTGATGAAACTGTCTCTTCCCAAGGTTGCTAGTAAATAATAAACAGTAAAATTTAAATAAATCAGATAGCTTCTTGACTGTGTATCTAATGGATCGAAGGCCACAGTTCTACATCCGATGCACCACGAAGGTGTGAATCTTAAGCTTAACCCTTACAGCTTGTCACTGGACTGAGATTCTAGGGAAGTGTGTGCCATGCGGTCTAGAGCTCAGCTGGTTGATCATGAAGAATCAAAAGCTCTAAAGGGCACCAATGGAAAATAATATTTGCATGCTCTCCATCGTTAAGAATATGGAAGAGCCAGAACCCTTTCCAGTGCACCTTTGTATCTTTGTAAATGCCTCGACAGAGTACAGCTTGTGGGATCTTTTGTTTCTTGGTTTTTTTTTTTTTTTTTTTTTCAAGACAGAATTTCTCTGTAGCTTTGGGCCTGTCCTGGAACTTGCTCTTGTAGACCAGTGGTCTCGAACTCACAGAGATCCACCCATCTCTGCTGGGATTAAAGGCATGTGCCACCATAGCCCAGAGTCTTGTTTTGTTTTGGCTTGCGGGATCTTCTAGCTTCTGCATTGAACTTGTGAAATCCTGTCCACTTGTAATACCGGTTGTGAATTGCTGCGTTAGTCACCAAAGGGAAGGTGGACTTAGATGGCTGTAGAACCGCTGATGTAGGTATTTCAGTTTACCCTAGCAACTAATTTGATAACCTGAAATAAATCCCACTTTAGGGAGCTTTCTGGCTCTATGGCCTTAGGCAAGGTGTTTACCCCGCCTCCACCCCCCCCCCCCACTACCTTTAACTTAAATAGAAGCAGGGTCTCAAGGCACCTGGGAGGCAGGAGGATCAGGAAGGAGTTCATGGCCAGTCTCAACTACAAAGCAAGTTCTAGTTGAATTTGGGCTCTATCCCTATCTCAAAACAAAAGTGTATGTGTTCTTACACAAATACACATATATGTAGGGTACTTAGAAACTAGTATCATATGTAGCAATAAATACTACCTTGCAGAGACTGACAGTACTGGGCGGAAAACTGTAGTCTGTCGAGATAAACCCAGCGTGTCCACAACTGCTTTCTCTTTCTGACCAGCAAGGAAAGCATTTGCCCTGTGGCTCAGGATGACGTTCAGCTCAGGATCTCTTGCCCCCACTTCCCATTTACGTCTGCCACCACACCCTGTGCCAAGTCTTCATTGAGTCTCCCCATCCAATTAAAAAATCCAAACGCCTCTTCCCCACTAGGCCCTAAGCAATCTCACCTGTGTATAATAGGCTTTATTTTCTGCCCCATTTTATCCTTCCTTCCCTCCAGATACCAGGTTTGTTACTTGAGGATCTTTTACTTTTGTCGTTTTTTGTTTTTAGGAAGGGTCTCGCTGTGTAGCCCTGGGTGGCTTGGAATTCCTTGGACGGTAGACCAGGCTGTCTTTGAACTATGGGGAACACCAGAAGCCAGGTTTGCTGTTCTGTGACACATTTATCTCCGTTGGGAGCCCCGCCCGAAGGTTGGCTTTCTTCTCGACATTCATGAACCTGGCTGTGTTAGCAGTTCATTTTTACTTTTTCTTCACTAGAATATGAATTTAAGGCAATTAAAAAAAAAAGAGGCAATAGAGTATAGCAAAAAATACTTAGGGCAGTGTGATAAGACACAGAGACAGACTGCCTGTCTTTAAATCTGTCAGCATTGTGCTTCTGTCTTCAATCCTCTGTGAGGATAAGGGTTGCAGAGGGAGACAAATGAGTTTCAGCTGTCCTTCCTGACCCTCTGTCAAATCAGGATATCCGACACAAGAGTGATCAGATCACCTTATACACATTTATATCACCGTGAGAGACACACATCACCACATCCATACACATGTGTACTCATTTGTATCACCGTGAGAAATACACATCACCTATATATACACACATGTACTCATTTGAATCACCATGGAGATATATCACCATATACATAAATATATAAATATCTACATAAACACACCATCAATGAGATAAATTCACATACACACAATCTTTGAGATCTATCTATCACCGCACATCAACACTGAGATACATAATACATCTAAGTATGGTCATTGATATATATTTCTTTTGATTTTGTTTTTTCTTTTTGGGGGGGCAGGTTCTTATGTAGCACAGACTCTCAAACATCAATCTTCCTGTCTCAGCCTCCTGACTATTGGGATTACAGATATGAGTGCCATTCCTGTGTTCAATAAATATTTTTCTTTAATTTTTAATTTAAAAATTAAGTTTTGTATGTTTTGTATATGCATGTATGGGAATAGCATGTGAGTGGATTGTCATAAGAGGGTGCTGGATCCCCTGGAAATAGGTGGTGATGAGCTTACCATGTGGATGCTGGGAACTGAACCCAAATCCTCTGCAAAAGCCCAAGTGCTCTTAACCACTGACCTAGCTCTCCAGCCCCATGATAAATACTGGTTTTTGTTCTTTTTTTTTTTTTTTCAAGACAAAGTTTCTTTGTGTAGCTCTGGCTGTCCTGGAACTAGCTCTGTTGACCAGGCTGGTCTTGAACTCGCAGAGATCCGCCTGCCTCTGTCTCCCAAGTGCGCCACCACAGTCCAGCCACCATAAATATTGCTAATCCACCAATGAGAGACTGTTCTTGTTTCATTGCCTTAATGGGCTAGACTTCTCCCATCTCGGCTCTGAAGGAGGTACTCTAGCCTGAACCCCTACCTTCTCCAAGGTTCCTGTCATGGGGCTCTCTAAGACAATACCCGAGACAGCCTTTATACAGTTTTCTGGTGTCATCAGATGCCATATATCCTGTGGGTCTCTCAAAAGACAAATGCATGTTTAGCTTGCTAAGGGACCAGTCATTCACTACATTAAGCCCTTTGAATCTCATTCTTGAGAATCCTGACTTGAGCTTTCTGGACCATTCAGATATTTTGAAGGAAATAAAAGCTTTGGGTTTTGGTTGTTATTATTATTAGTATTAATATTTTTAAATTTTAGTTTATGTATATGAGTGTTTTTCCTGCATATGTGCCTGTGTACTGTTTGTATTTATGGTGCCTGAGAGGTCAGAAAAGGCTTCAGATCTCCAGAAACTGGAGTTGTGAGCCACCTTGTGGGTGCTTGGAAGCAGACCCAGGGCCTCCTTAAGAGCAACAAGTGCTCTTAATCACCTAATCACTTAGTTAGGCCAGGTCTCCAGTTCCTGTTTTAAAATGGGCCTGGTGGTCCACTGTAATCCCAGCACTCGAAAGGTAAAGGCTGGAGGACCAGGAGTTTGAGGTCACTGCAAGCTATTTTTGGAGGTCAGCTTTGTCTACAAGACACCACGACTTCAAACAAACACAGAAACAGGCTTGGTTGGGGGATGGGACGGCAGAGAAATTGGTGGAGTTCGCCCAAATTCCTTGAAGCTGTGGATTTGATTCCTAAGCGTTTCAAAAATTTGACAAGGTGGTAGGTAATTTTTTTTTTTTTCCGAGACAGGGTTTCTCTGTGTAGCTTTGGTGCCTATCCTGGAACTTTTTCATTTTCAAGTGCTTTTAAAAAGTGGTATTTATGTGTTGATGTGTGTGTGTGTGTGTGTGTGTGTGTGTGTGTGTGTGTGCGTGTGTGATATTACTATAAAAGAGGGCATCTTGCTGGGGTTGGAGCTCTCCTTTCAACCGCAGGTTCTGGGGTTAAGACTCAGATCATCAGGGATGGCAGCAAGTGCCTGTACCTGTTGAGTCACCTTGCTTGCCCTGTTTGCTTTTTGAGACAGGGTCTCACTGTGTAGCCCAGTCTTGCCTTGAATGGTGGCAATCCTCCTGCTTTAGACTCCTGGGTGCTGGGTATAGGCACGATCCATCTCCCAGCCAGGGTTCCTCAATTATAAATGTAGATTATTTTCTTCTTTCCATCCTGTCAGCTCCGCCATTTAATTAGCTCCCTCCCATAGGGCCATTCCGTAGTCTCGACCTTTTGTCTTGACAGGTGTGTTGAACTCATCGAATGCTGTTGTTTTGCCAACATGTCTGTAGGATAAATTCTAGGGGCAAATTACCATCATAAATGAGGTCAGGAACAAAGCTCCCGTGGTATGAACTGTGGCAGAACACTGGCCTGGCAGCATGCAAGACCCTAGCTTCAATCTCCAGGACCAAAAACAGGGCACAAACAAAAACAAAGACCTCACAATTGCCAGCTGTAACCACTTTCCTTTAGTGACCGTGGCAACAGTCTCACTCCTAGGAACAATACAGGACAGAGCACGGCACTGTTTTTCCTCACCCAGGCAAATCTCTCTCTCTCTCTCTCTCTCTCTCTCTCTCTCTCTCTCTCTCTCTCTCTCTCTCTCTCCCTCTCCCCCTCC